CGGCTCCCAGCATCTTTGAGGCTGCAGAACAAACGGGTTGGTGACTTTGAGGGCTGCATCAGCTTCCTGGCAATCTCTTGCGAACCCCAACCCTCTTTGGTGCTTCAGGCTGAGCTCTCTATCAGCGGTGGCTCCCCAGATTTCTAGCAGTTGGAGAAGCCACTAATACTCTATATTAGACTTTTCATAACTGTACTAAGCAGAGTGGCTTCTCTTTTCCTAACTGAACTCTGACTAATTCAACTGAGTTGGGGCCTTAGCAAAAATAAGTAGGCTGCTGCGTAAATCTGGCAGTTATGATAAAATAAGGTAAAGAATGCCCATCAGCAGAACATACCAGGAGACACTGATTTGGGAGCTGTCTGGTGGGGGTGGCTTCTCAGACCTCCCAGTCCCCACGGAAGATATGCCTGGCTTAGGAGGGATGGCACTGTGTCAGTTTAGGGTGAGGTCCTGCCAGATCGGCCCAACCACACCACTGTGAAACCATGGCAATTACCCTTCCTTCTACAAACCCCATCGAGCCAACTAACCTCGTAGTCCCGGACGATTGGTTCTGTTCTGCCACCATCAGGAGCCATATACCAGGTTGAGGACCCAAGAGGGGCTGCGTAGGGCAGAGCCGGCCCAGCCCTGACAGGGTTACCCTCTCTGGAATCACAGTGTCCCAGAGCTGGTTCTGACTGGTAGGGCCTGACCACACCACCTCCTTAGCTTCAAGGGCTTGGGAGCAGTCCTAGCTTCAACATTAAGTTCATAGAATAAAAATAAAATTGAAGAAAAGCACAAATGCCAACAAAAGGAAAGTGTGATTGATGACACACTCATAGCTCTGTCTCGTCACCCTCTGTCACAGGCCAGCTTTCTCCTTGCGGCAGGAGCACGTTGCCTACAGTCACCACAGGCTCCATCTCCCAGCTCTACAAAAGCTTTCTTTTCCCAGGTTCCGCTTGGAAAAATCTAACTGGGCCAGCAAGGTCACAGCCGCAAGTCACAGCCCCCAGTAAAATCACATGCTCTGGTAGAGAATTTCCTAAAGAGGCTACTTTCGTAAATCAGGGTTTCTCAAACAGAACACTATGGACGCTTCGGGCTGGATAACTATTCGTTGGTGGGGACAAGGGGCACTGTCGTGTGTGTCCTAGGTTTGGCAGCATCCCCAGCCTCTACCCTCTATTCGTGAGTAGCACACAGCCCCCCGGTTCTGACAAACATATGTCTCCCAACATTGCCAACTGTCCCCCAAGGGGCGAAACTGTCC